CGAGTATGTCAGTGCTTATTAGGTGTGGTTTGAGCATTCATACCAGACCAAGACCCTCAGGAGACTTAGACATAGGATCGCCGAGTTTGTGAATTCCAAACCAGTTTGGGTGCCGAAATGCGTGACTCGGTGGCAGTGCTTCTGAGCGCATGCAGTAGCAGGGTGTTAGGTGTTTAAGTAAATTTATTGGCAAAATATCTGTAGATGCCAAGGAGACCTCTCTGGCATCAAAACTGTTAGGTGGGTTTTTTGCAGATCGCTGACTCAGGCTTAGATCCCTTCACTGAGCCCAAATTGCACATTAGACACCAAAGAAACCTTACCAGGAGCTATGATGTCTGCAGTTCTATTTGCTAATGCATTTCCCCTCTTTACTGAGGTGTTAGAAAGTGCTTCAAATTTCATAGAAATCTTTCTCATGAAAATCAGTTATTTTAAAACAAATGCAGTGTGGATGAAGAGGAGAGATCGGTCAGAGAAAAGTGACAGTGGTGAAGCCAGTGCAAGATATCATTACATTCATGTATTGGTGTCCACAGAACAATCAGGATCTGGATCCCAGTGTATAAAGTCAGTGTGGAGGGCAAGGGGGATCTAAAATCATCTTCCCCTCTCATCTTAGAATGCCCTCTCCAATCTTACTCTAACATGTAGGGTTTCTATAGACTCCATAAGGATAGCCCAGGACAATTGTTCTTACCCTTCCAACATGCGCACATAAATGTATTGTCCCTACTGTGTACCAAAACAGAAGGGCATTTGTTTGACTTTCAGCAGTGCTACTCGCATAGCCTGGCACTCCTCTATGGCACTGTTCTTCTACTGTACCTAAAAATAATGCAAAGTCTGTGTTTTCCCAAACACAAACAAAAGGAGCCAGCATTCGACATGTAAACATGCAGCACTGAAAGGGAAAAATAGAAGAGTCTTTTTGTTAATCGTGCAAGGCTATTTTTAGTGTTAGTTCTAATCTGTGCAAGACTTGCAGTCTCTTGGAGGGTGAAATGAGGTCAGACTCCTGTTAGCAGAGTGCTTGGAGTGAGTCAGCCAAGTAGTTCCAGGAAACTTGAAAACATGGCCCTAGCTAAACTGGCCATCAGTGAGGGAAGGTAGGATGGTCCATGTGAGGAATGGAGCCCTTTGGTAGGAACCACCTCACTTACTAGATTATTCTGTGGTGCTATACAGATTGCTCCCCTGAAGCGAGATCAGAGGCTCTGCTTGCATGTGGGGGTTTTTTTACACTTACTTTGTGTTCCAGAGACTTAAATTCAGTGATGTAATACTTCTTTTGATATGCAGAGAGAAAGGTGTTAGTCTAGTCTTTGTTCTCTTTGTAGCAGTAGGTTGGAAAGGACCTTGTACAACTATCTAGTCCAACCCAATGCCTTGGGGCTGGTTCAGTTGTGAAAGTCAGCTGTCATTAAGAACAGAAAGAGGTGCTGAATGGGGCCTGACTCCAGGTGTAGGACTATCTGCTGTAATTTACTGGGGAGTCTGCCAAGCCCATGCGTTGTCTTATCTCAATGATTGGAGGTTTGTTGCAGGCTGAGGAAGAGGATTACAGTGAGGAGGAAAGCTCAAAAGTGGAACTGAAGCAGGACGGCAATGATTCTAGTGAGTCCACTGCAAAAGCAGAGAAAGGGGAAGAGAAACCCAATTCCAAAGGCACTGTGACTGGCGAGAGACAAAGCGGGGATGGGCAGGTAGATTTCCAATGTGTGCTGTATGGTTTCTGGGGTGGGAGGGGGAGGGTCATGGCTGGTTTTACATGGAAGTGGGGCTGCAGTGTAAAGAGCTCTCCTTTTTGATAGGAGAGCACTGAACCGATTGAGAATAAAGTTGGGAAAAAGGTCCCTAAGCATCGGAAGAATCCAGCTTACATCCCTCGCAAAGGGCTGTTCTTTGAGCATGATCTCCGAGGACAGACCCAGGAAGAGGAAGTGAGGTGTGTAATAATTGTTTAAAGCTTTCCCTGGAAAGAGAGGCAAACCCAAGCCACCATATAAAGTGCAACAGCTTTTGCTTCTATGTTAAATGCTTGGGAAATTTTGTAAGACAGGGAGGTTGTAGCCCTATGCTGGCCCTTTGGCTGGCAGTAAATGTTCTGTCAGGTTCCAGGTGTTCTTTAGGCAGCAGGGACTGGTGATGCTACAGAAATACAAGCTGAGCCTTATGCCACTAAACTGTAGCCCTTCTTGGTGATAAAAAGGAGCAATAGTAATAGTTTTCCCTTAGGAAGATGTCTGCCTTAGCTGGACTGGGAGGCCAGAGGCTGTTGGATCTTTTAGAAGTCCTGGATGTTGTTGGCATGGAGGAAGAGGAAGCAGTTATTATGCAGCCTCCCATGCACATCCCTTCCTAGAAGCAAGCAGCCTGAGTTTGCAGTCTGTGCTCTTTGGAGCTGCCTTGCTGTTCCCCCTACTCTATACGCTTGGCACTGCAAAGACCTGCTGGTTCTCTCTGTTTTGCTGTTCCAGGCCTAAAGGTCGCCAGAGAAAATTATGGAAAGACGAGGGCCGCTGGGAACATGACAAATTCCGGGAAGATGAGCAAGCTCCAAAGACCAGGCAGGAGCTGATAGCACTCTACGGCTATGACATCAGGTCTGCTCACAACCCAGATGACATCAAGCCAAGGAGGATGCGCAAGCCAAGGTGAGCATCCAGAGCTCCAGGGAGTCCAACCCAAATGTGCCTTGCATACAGGAGACAAACTTCAGCCCCCTTATTCCTCCCCACAAGGCCATAGGTGTTCAGCATCCAACTGGGAAGGCATGTTGACTTGAAACAATGATGGGTGTGTGGGGTCCTTCTTGAAAGTTTGTGTTGAGGACCAGGGTCCTAGCCATCACAGTCTGGATGCTGGGTCTCAGGGTGGCAAATACTTTGGCACTGTAGTCTCTGTTAATATTTGGGAGCAGAAGTGTTGGACCCTGGAAGAATCTGCCACCAAAATGATGCAGTAATGAATGTTATTTTAGTGCATTGTCTTTGGGTAATGGTGTTGGGGTGTGTAGGGGGAGGGGCTTTCTTTTTGAAACCAGAAAGGTAACCCATGTCGTGGTGGTGGATCTCTTAGGGATGTGGTATAGAGACCTATTGCTGATCCTTTGCATCCTTTGCCTTTAAGGTTTGGGAGCCCTCCACAGCGAGAGCCAAATTGGTCCCACGAGAGGCAAAACAAGCCTCCAAGGTACCAGGGCTCCGACAATACCCCGGCACCACCACGAACATTCATCAGCCGAAGTTCTGCAGGCACAGGGAGGATGCCCCCACCCAGGACCTATCCAAGGTCAGGTGGCTACAAAGAGAATCGCCCTAGCTATCGAGCTGCAGAAGCAAATGGCCAGCATCACTCTCGAAACAGTGAGCAGGCTAAACATGAAAGCAGCTACCGGTCAAAGCGTGTGGAACAAGCCCCAGCAAGAGACCCCTCACCCGAGGCTGAGGTTGCAACTGATCACAACAGCCCTGTTAAGAAGGAGGAGATTGTTTTGGAAAGCCAGACCACAACAACAGATGCTGTCCAGCCACCCCCAGATAGACCCATTGAAAAGAAGTCTTATTCTCGGGCAAGAAGGACCAGGAATAAAGCTGGAGAGACAGGAAAGCTGGCTGATGAAGTGCCCCCTCCGGAGGGGCTGATGCCCGTGTCTCTAAAACCTGTGCAGGTAGAGACACCCCCACCACCAGCAAAGACCGGAAGCTGGGAGACCCCAGTAGAATCCAGCATGGATGGACTTGAACAAGAAATGACACAGTTGAATCTAACTGAGCAGAACTGGACTCCAGGGCAGCCTCAGTTTATACAACCTCGGGAACTTAGGAGTAAGTGCTTGCCATCTGTTAGTTTTGCTTTGATACTTTTTCCCAGCCAAGTTCAGTTTAATTGTAAAAGGGTCTGGTAGTTAATCAGAGCTAGAGGCATAGCTTAAATGTCTACACAGCAACTTTAGACCACCTTGACTGACTGCAGTTGTGGGTTTAAATCTTAGTGAAATCTACTCTGAAGGGTCTGGTGAGTTCCACACAATTTTAATATCGTGTGCTGTCTTTCGGAAGCCATTTGCAATCCAAATCTCTCTGCTCTCCTTTGGGTAGTGGGTCCTGTGCCCTGACATAAGAATAAGAATTTGGTATGAATCTCCCCACAACTTCCTGTTTGCTGGCCTCCCCCTTAAAGGCTTCATTTCTCTGGTGCTTATATAGACACTCTCTTGTTTGCAGATGGTGTGAAGTCACTTAGGTTAATAGTGGAAGGACTATGAAAAACTCCAAACAGATGGAGACTAAGTGGACAATCTGATGGGGGAAAGCTAATGTGTAAAATTAATATTTGTCTGCACAAATCTCACCTGTTGTATGAGCTGCTGAGTCCTGAATTTGCAGTATTGTGTGGAAGGAATAAAGGGTCATACCAGGTGATCTGTTCAACACGCAGCAGTTGTTAAGATCATGCCCCACTTGAGTTCATTAAGCAGACAAGATAGGGAATTGTTGAGGTGGTGAGCAGTGGCGGCACTCTTCTTCAAGAAATCTATATTCTTGTTTTACTTTTGTAGTGCAGTGTTTCCCAACCTTTTCCAGCCCCAGGCACACTTAGATTAATAAAAACTTTCTGTGGCATGCCTGTTAAGGCATTTCCCATCCTCATACCTGGTGTAGCTCATTGACATGGCAAAATTGTGCAGCACACCTGTTCATTTCTGATGGTGCACTTTTGTTCCGTGGCACACTGGTGTAATGAACATCATGGCAGTCCTTGAAAGGGTTGTGCAGATGACTAGAGAGGATTAGGTAGGATTTTTGTATAACAAAGGTGGTTTTTTGTTTTTCCTAGGAAGTTACTGAGCCTAGAAAGAAATGGCAAGTAATAGGTCAGGTAATTGAGGACTAGGAAGGGTTTAGCCTTTAGTGAGAACCTATCATTCCCTCTCTTTCCCTGTCTAGCCAGACAAACAGGAACTTCTTTGTGCAGTGTGTGATTAACCTGTGGCACTCACTGCTGCATCAAGAGAGTTGGCTGTGGGAGCTGGGCTTAGGGGAAGGGCATGGGTAATGAATGTCTTGACTAATAATAGTGCTGAACTGTTTGTAAACTAATATAATCAGGATAATCCCATCTCCTGCTGTAGGGCATAAATAACCTGCTGAGGGGAGGAAGGAAATTTCCTCCTTTTATCAGCAGCATTGCACAGTCAACTCCATGGAGCCTACTTAGCAACCAAGATTTGGCTGCTGCTAGACTCTAGTGGAGTCTGCTGAGGAATAGCAAATCCTGCACCTTTTGTGTTGGGCCTAGTGGTATAGATTGCTTCTCCTGTTCTCTGAAGTAGAATCTGGCAGGATTGAAGTAATAACATGCATAGCTTCTCTGCATAGATATTACAGTGAGTTAAAAGGGGACGAAGATTTATGACAGGACGGTAACTGCTCATGTGTCCATTCTTATCCCAAGGTAGGTGGAAACCAAACTGCAGTAGCTTAGTCCACTTTTTACTGAGAGCTAAAACGCGCTGGATTACCTTTGATTTACCATGGGATAAGGTCATTCACATGCACAATTACTGCAGAACAACTGGTAATGTGTAATACATTTGTTGGTACATACCCTATGTCAGGTAAGATATACCAATATAATTACACTAGTGTGACTGATAAAAGCTTTCTTATGTAGAAGAGCCATAGTCTGAATTGTAGGCTCAGGAGAACTGGCTTCTTGTATGCTAATAAAATTGGATTTCGAACATTCTCAGAACAAAAACACTTAAACTTGACAGACATCAACAGGGTTAATCTTTACTATATCAGCTCTGTGTGTGCGCGCTGCAGCAAAAAATAAGGCAACAGTCCCTTTCTTGAAAAGCATATGCACTAAATTTTCCATGAGATATCATGTCTGGACTGTGAATGGGTGAGTGGGAGTACCATGCGGGCAATAAGGCCTGTGCACGTTTCAGTAGCTCTTTTCTCATTGGTAGCAGGTGTCCATTACCTTGGTGTTGCCTCTCTCTCTTTCCCAGTGAAGACAGCAGGAGTTCGACTAGGTGAAGGGATTCTGGGCAGTCATTCCATACAATTGCTCCCCCCCCCTTTACACACACACACTCATGTACATGCACACTTTATAATGTAAACTCTCCCCAATCTAGGATTTACGTAGCTCACTTCCTCCCTAAGTGTCTGGCAGTGAAGTTTTAAATATAGAGTGTAACCTCTGCCAGTTGACTATGAAAACTGATGTGAAGTGCTATGATGAAGGTTCTGCTTTGTTGTGTTCAGCTGGAGTTGCTAGGCTCCACGTGGGCACAGCTTAGTATGTGCCAAACTCGGCCCTATCCTCTTCCTGTTCCAGCACAGTCGGAGCTTAGATTTGGGAGCAGTTGAAGTTTTGATGTATTGGAAGGATCTTGCAGACTTGGTTTGTTTTGCACAGATTATATAAGAAGTTACATTCCAGAATTTCTTTAAGCTACATTTCTAACAACAGTAGAAATGATCCTTTGGTGTTTAAGATGTGTTTTTTAATTTGTCTTGACAGTTTGCAAACATTATCTCGTCCAGTGTATGATGTGTAGGTTTAAAAACGGTTTTTTTTATCAGTGCTCCTTGTAATGGATCCATTTTCACTGCTCTCTGCAAGCAGCATGTCAGCCCATCACAGTACAATAACTCATCCAAAACACTGACATTTTCTGTAGCAGAATTTGCTAGAAGTGGGAAGATTACTTATAGCTATGCTTTTGACATGTGAGCTTGTTAGTTGTCAAAAACAAGAAGAAGCCATAGTAATCACTGTGTCTCTGTCTTTAGGTATTCCTAATCATATGCACATGGGGACTGGACCACCACCTCAGTTTAACAGGATGGAGGAAATGGTAAAGCAGAGAATCTTGTGTACTCTGCGCATTTTTTATTTTGAACAATTTAAAATCAAGGCATCTATTGGGTTCTGTGTTTAATGATTACAACCTGCCTGGAGCACTTCAGCATTTAGCCTTTTACCTGCGTAGAAGTGTTCACCATTTCACTGCTCAGCCAGGGAGATTGGGTGGGAGATTAAAACCCAAGAGAAGGATTCCTTTCTAGCACTCTGAATATCACCAATGTCTTTGGACTCTTTCAGGCAGTGCAGGGGAGTCGTGCAAAGCGTTATTCATCCCAGCGTCAGAGACCCCCAGTTCCAGAGCCTGCACCCCCCATGCACATCAGCATCATGGAAGGGCATTATTATGATCCACGTGAGTGTTCCCAGTGGCTCGTGTCCCTTTCCCTTACCAGTTCAGCTTGGTCAGAAATAGGCGGGAGGGTGGTGGGATCTCTCTTGCTACTGAAGAAACTGCTGTCTTTCCAGGAAGTGTAAGTGTGTAGTGTTCTCATGGAACTGTAAATTGAGTCTTTCACCTTTACTTGAACTTTCTCTTTTAGAAAGGGATGCAGACAGTAAGAATTAGATCCATTTTATAGATGGTTAAAATTTCAAAACTTAATATAAAGGGCTTTTCTTGAAATCATTCTTGCATATCGCTGACATGTTTAAACCCTACACTACTATGTAAAGCATGGACCACAGGGACTGGAAGGGGCATCCTGCTTCACCAGCTCTAGTGTCCTGCTATCGCCAGTAACCACCTTCTAATTTCCAGCCTATATTTATTTGGTGTTCCCTTCTGCCTTCTGCAGCCTGCTGCAGGCAAGCATTGCTGTAGATCAGGGGTTTGGTAACATATGCCTTGTAGAGTTCCTGGGTCCAACCTGTGGAGATAGAGGGCTTTGTCTGCGCCATGCTGGAGCTATACTCATGCCACTACAAGTGCCCTCAGCACCCCCTGCCCTTCCCCTGGCTACAGCTTGGGCACAACTTTCAGCCCTTGAGGACCTATGCCAGGCCAATCTCAGTGTTTTGGGCATTAGATACGGAAGTGTAAGTTTAGTGTGTTCCTGTGCAGTTAGGAAATAGTGGCCAACTCTTCCTCTGCAGGAACGATCAAGGTCATGAGCTTCTATTGGCACATGCTTTCTTGGCATACATATTCCTGCATAACTTGTGCAACTTTGTCCAGATGATAGGACAGTAACTTGGCCTCTGTAATCAAGATGACTCTAGTTTCAGTAGAATAAGCTAACCAACCTTTATCTTTTCAAACTGTCTTCTCTTGCAGTACAATTCCAGGGACCAATCTACACCCACAGCGAGAACCCTGCCCCATTGCCCCCCCAGGGTATGATTGTACAGCCCGAAATGCATCTCCCCCATCCAGGTAAAACCTCCAGCTCCCAACTTCCTGTCCTCACAAGTAAACTTGTTACGAGAACATTTATGCCAGGGGTGGGCAAAATGCGGCCTGCAGGCCGGCTGTGGCCCACCAGGCCATTCTATCCAGCCCACGGGGCCCCTGAGAAATTAAAAAAAATAATATTCATCTGCCCCTGGCTGCCTGTTATGCGGCCCTCAATGGCTTGCCAAAACTCAGTAAGCGGCCCTCCATCTAAAATAATTGCCCGACCCTGATTTATGCAGTAGAATCTGCATACTTGATGGGGTTAGGTTCCTTACTGTCCCTGCCAAGATAAGAGTTTGCAAAAAACTGGGTATAAAGAGCTCCAGCAAACAGCTGTGTAAGACCACTAAAGTGCTCCAGCTGTTTGCTGTGAATTTTAGTTCATAGGGTTCTGCTTCTCTGATTGACTGCATAGGGCTACCGGTGAGCTCATGATCAATGGAGAAGTGGTGCCCTTAAAAGTAAAACTCATAGCAAAGAGCTGAATGGCTCACCATTAGCAATTTAATTAATTTAGCAATTTGTTGCAAACAAGCAGGCTGTGAACCACCTTATACAAATGATCCAGGTTCTGTACCGGCCCTGTTGTACATTTGACAAAGATCCATTCTAAGCTGATTATTGGGAGCCAAGAGCTCTTGAAGTTTTACTCTAGCTCTGATGCATACTTTCTTTGTGGCTGTAGGCAGGTCGTTTAACCTCTCTGCCTGTTTTTCCCATCTGTACAATGGGCAAGGCTTACAATCAGGGCAAGTCAATATTTCATTGTAATGTCTTTTGAAAATGGGAACTTAAATAGTTTGACAAAACCACATATCCATTTCTTAGCATAAGTCAGGGTTGCTCACTGTATGTTGTTATCGTACATTCCTTTCTAGAATATATGTACTCTGTAGGCTTCCTTTGTTAAAGACCTATTTCATTCTAGAAATAGTCAGGCACCAAGGCCAATGCAGGTCTGAGCGCTCTGGAGCAGATGTTTGGAATGCCTGGCTAGAAATTAGCTAACCAAGCAACCAGGAAAGTATTATTCTTGTTTTAATGGGAAGTTTGAACCTGCTGGTTACTGTCCATATCAGTGGAAATCCTTGGACAGTTTCCAGTGAGTGAGTGAAACAGCTGCCTCCTAGCCTTACCCTTTGTAGATTAATGGTTCCTCCCTTATGGACATTATTAGGGGACTGTCTAACTTCTTCTAAAGTGGTCTTTGGTTGCTTCTGGAAAAACTGTGTCCCTGGGGATACAGCCTACATTCTACAATTGTTAGATAAAGCTTCCTCTGCCAAACACTGAAGGAGTTAATCTGTTCTGGTTGCCCGGCAAGACGTTTTTAGCAAAACACCCTCCCCGTTCGCTAATCGCACTTTGTGTTAAAGTGATGAAGGTGGGGGTGGCACCAGGCCAGAGGTGTGGGTCTGTTTTGGCATCTGAAAGTTCCCAGTCTTTTCCTGGTGTGTGATGTCCTTACATGTGGATTTTCATTTCCAGGTTTACATCCACATCAGACTCCAGCACCTATGGGGAACCCTGGCTTATACCCTCCACCTGTCTCCATGCCTCCTGGGCAGCCCCCACCACAGCAGCTACTTGCACCCACCTATTTCTCCCCTCCTGGGGTCATGAATTTTGGGAATCCTAGCTACCCCTACCCCCCAGGAGCGCTCCCGCCACCACCTCCTCCTCATCTGTATCCCAACACCCAGGTAAGATGCCTCCAGTGTCATTGAGTTGTCTTGAACAGGACTTTTGTAAAACACAAAGCATTGGGATTTTATGCTGGGTGAGTCTGTCTGTTATACGTGGTATAATTCCTGCTTTTTCCCAGGTGTGGGGATTGTTTCCTATGTAGCACACAACTCAGACATCCAGAAATCCATGTTCTACTTTATGCTTTCTACTCAGTTTGCTTAACAAAAGGAGACTGATCTGATCTCTCTGGTTTGCATTTGCTGGGACTGGAATTTGAATTTTATGCATCTACTACCTGTCTAATGTGACTCCAGTACTTAGGTTATGTACTAATGCAAGGGAAGAAGCAGAGTGAGTTTGACTAGAAGCTCTTTACACAGGCAGATCTCTTCCTGATCCAAACTAAGCCAACTACAGCAGGATTCTGAGTTTGCTGAATGTACTGCCTTCCTGTTGTTAAACCAAGGTAGTAGGCTGAATGCAGGCTGGCTGCTGGTGGTACCTTTTGTGGTCTTGGGAGCGTGGGAACCCACTCCACAGCGAGATGGCAGCTCACAAGCCATTTACAGACCAAATAAATGTTTGTCCTTAAACAGTAGTAAATGTTTGTGTCTACATGGCCATGAGCCAAACAGGTTGTTTTCCTTTAACTACCAGGTCCATATGGCCACCCCTGAAATCCTTCATCCATGATGCCTGTTAGCTTTGAGGTCCTGTCCTACAGGGAGCCCTAGTGACTTCCTGGGACATCTTAGTAATGACAAGCTGTGGCAAGGCAGGACCTGCCATCACTGAGGCTGGCTTGTAAATGGCACAAGGGTGACACTCCATGGCAAGATAAAAGAGTTGCAGGTTCTTAGCCCAGTCTGGGTGTTTTGATGTTTGCCATCTGGGTGAAGGCAGAAGAGTTTGATTTTATTGTTAGTCCATCTTTGGGGGCAAGTTTTGCACTCCAAGACACCTGGAAACAGTGATTTCATGGGGAATTATCAGCCACCTTGTGTGCACAAAACAAAAGTTAAAGGGGAAACACATGGTCCATGGAAAACCCTGAAGGACATAGTGACCCATTTGAAACAACTAAGGTCTGTGAATCTAGCCAGTGTAGGTTGATGTAATCAGATGACTACCCACCATCATTGATGGATGATACGAGAATTGTCTTGGTAAAGTTATTGCAGTGAAATGCAGCCCTTTAGGTAACACTTCCTCAAGTAGTTGCTAAGCTGACTGGCTTCTGCAAATGAGTCCATCATACAAAGCACATTAAAACTGTGGCTGTTGTGTGGGGGGGGTTCTGCTCCTCTCTGGCTTTAAACAACATAATTTTATTTTAAAGACAGTTTTACAGCTTAAAGAAGGCCAAGCAAAATGGCTAACACTATCTGAATAGGTGCAATAGATGTATCCCATTAACAAGAACTGATCTTTCTATCCTTTGGGGAATGCAGGCCCAGTCCCAAGTATATGGAGGGGTTACCTACTACAACACTGTCCAGCAGCAGGTACAGCCAAAACCTTCTCCACCACGAAGAACATCACAGCCTGTGACCATCAAGCCCCCACCCCCTGAGGTACTGTTCCCTCGGCCTTGCTTTGCTGTGTGAGACTGTGTGGCATTTTACCTTTGTGTGAGAGTTCTGTTCCCCCCTCCCCACACAAAAAATGTGTTGTGTTTCGAGGAAATCTTAACTTGCCTAATCTTTTGACATGTCCCAAACTCCAGCTTCTCGTTGCAGGTTGTAAGCAGGGCTCCAGTTAATTTGAGTTTCTAAATACTTTAAATCTAAACCCACGTAAAAAGTAAGTCCAAAGTTGACTCTTATTTCCTTTCTTTGTTTAGAAAAAGACACCTAATGTAGGAAAGGCACCTGATGTAGGAAGTTGTGATTTTTCTCTTGCTGAAGCCTCAGCAGTGTAAAAGTTAAAGGGGCAAATTTAAAAGTTCATACAGAGAAATGGTTTTCATCATCTCTCTGCTTGGGTGATAGGGACTGTGTGTAGAGGGGTGTGTGTGTGTGTATCCTGGCTTCCTTTTTTTAAAAATAATCTCTTGCACAGGAGTGTAGTGAGCCTGAATCACAGCATGCCTGAAACCATGGGCATCTGCTGTTTCACTTTCCCCTCTGTCAGTGGGAAGGCAAGATGCTTTAGAGAAGTGGTGGCCAACCTGCAGCATGGGTGCCACAAGTGGCAAGGGCAGCCTCTTTGTGGCATATTGCAGATAAGGGTAGGAATAGGGAGCACAGTGGCAGATAGGGCAAGGAGCAGGGAGCACAGGGAAAGAAGTAGGAAGTAGAGCAGAAGATCAGGCAGGGGAAGAACATTAGAGTGGCACTTCAGGGAGGGTATGGGGCTAATTCATGGCACCCCTGCTGTGACGATTGGCTTCCACTGATTTAGAGTAAAGGACTGGGAGTTGAGACACCTCTGTTCAATTCCTAGCATTGCACTCATTGTGGGACTATGGGAAGTCACTTCTCTGGGTACTTGTTTTTCCCATCTGCCCAATGAGAGTATGCATCTTTGTAAAGTGCATTTAAAGGGCCTGGCATTGTCCAGTAGCATTGGAAAAATCTAGGTCCCCCATGCCTAGGGTTTATGCTAATGTAACACATTGTGATTATACTAACATAAACCAGAAGCAGACAAGCAACCATGCTGCCTGGTGTGGATCTGTGGTAGACCTGGGCCGGGAGTTATCCATGGAAAAATCTGGGTGAAAACTAGACTCCTGAAAGTTGCACTGCTGTTAGTGTCATGTGTCTGCTTTTGTCCTGGGATAGCCGTTTGCTTGCTGGAAGCAGGTTATTACTGGGTCCTAGTGTTGAAGAATAGTAATACTGCTATTGTTGCAACTATCTTAGGAGAAGGGATCATCTTTCCACACTAGCATTGGTGTCACTTTCATTGGCATGAAAAGCAGATGCAATGCAAGTGCGCGTGTCAGGGCCCTTAGTCCCCTTACCACTGCATAAACAGAGTGTGGCTTAAAGTGAGATCCTGTGAAGTAGAATGGGCACAATAGCAGCTGACTGTGATGGCAGAGCTGCAGCAGGGGATGATGGGAGGAGGATGGTGGCCACTTTCCACCACCCTGGTGCAGAGAGTGTTTCTTTGAACCACCTCAGCGCTTGCCCTGTACCCAGTGCACAGAACTTGACTGGCACAGGCAGCCCACTAACCCCACCCTTCATGTCTTCCCCCTCCAGGACAGCAAAAGTGAAAAATCAAAAGAAAGGAGCAATACGTAGGGACGTCTGCCTGGCAAGTCCCAGCGCCAAAATTGGCACCACCAGCAAGCAGGAAGCTCCTCCTTGGAGACGGCCCCTTTCCCTGTGTGTAGGTGAGGCCAACGGGCTGCCACCCGCTGCGTCAGTATTGTGTTGGGGGCCAGGCACCCTTCACTTCCTGGTGCCCTCCTGCAAAACAAATCTCTTGCTGCTGCTGCTGCTCTCTTCCACCACCTTTACTGGGGCATGGAGGTCATTGAACATGAGGGTCAGTCACTGCTCATGAGTTCTTGCCACTTCCCCTTTTTACTACACAGCTGGATATCCAGCTACACTGACTTCTGAGTTCCCAATTGGCCCTTTCTTTTAAGCTGATCTGTTTGGGTTTTTTTGAGTATTGTAATCTCTGTTTGCCCAGATTGCTGGGAATGTAACCACCGCCCCAAGGAGCTACCTATTAAGTTACTACTTGTTTCTCTCTCTCTCTCTCCCTCTCTCTCTCTCCCTCTCTCTCTCTCTCTCTCTCTCATCATTGTTTAAGCATAGCTGTTCAAGAAAGGGCTGCTGTGTGTCAGGAGTCTGTCAGGAATGTGCTGGCTATTCACTTGCTACTGAATTAGAAGCTCCTGGTTTGTTTTTGGAGCAAGCCCTGTCAGTCATTGTGTTGTGGGCAGTTTCTCTTGTCTAAGTGTGTGCAAGCTCTCAACTTGGAAGCAGTGTGGATCAGGGCAGAGCTGGAGCCCACCCATGCTGCACTTTGCATCCCAGAGAGGAGGGGGAAGGGAAGAGGTAGGGGTAGGGAAATCCTTCTGCCTTGTGGATTTTCACAAGCAGCCCTGCACCCCTTGGGCTTTCCCCAGAGCCATCTTCTCACTCACAGGCTGCTCTCCCTTTAGCCTTGTGCTGAGAGACTGGCCAGACAGGCTCAGCCAACATACAGTTTGCATTCAGCACTTGGGTGTTGTTCCTGCATACATGGAAGATGATGCGATTTGCCAGTTTTAACGTGTCCACTTTGCGAGCCTGGAGCACGCTGAAATCCGCTGGGAGGAACGCTCTTCGTGTGCATCCTCTAACTCCCCCACAGCCTTGCACCCTGCTTGAGGATTCTCGAGCCAAGCTTGTATGGCCATTGATACCTCAGCACTGTGGTTGCTGGGCCAGCTCGGCTGGCTTGCCATGCATCGCAGTGTTTTTGTGCTGCAGTGATTTGTTGCCTCTCTGCAGCACAGATCCTGCAGGGATTTTGGCACGCGATAGCAGCTGGGCTTAGCTCAGCATCAGCCTCGCAGCCATTTGCAAATTGCATTAGGGCAACTTGGCATGGAGGTTGCTACTGCAGCCTGCTCTCCCTGAGCCACGGGCTGAGGCAGCATGTGGAAGTGCCAGAAATGACGCAAGTGAGACTGTCGCTATGTTAGAGCAAGCAGATGTGTGGGCAGCAAACTCCCACCTGGGAGAGAGGGCGAGTGCTTTGGGCACTTACTTGCCTGCTTTCTGGTTGAGACCTTGTCGTGCCTGCCTGGCTTTCTCCCCAACTCCCTTTTTCTTTCCTACTGTCTGTAACTTGATCTTTTGTACTTAATTTCAGATAAGTCGAATGGTATTTTAAAACAAAAGACCCTTTTCTGTTTTACATGTAACTGTTTTCTCTGCCTTAAGGCTAAAAATGTATCGTTTAACATATCGGTCGTGTGACTGAACTTCTAGACCTAACAACACTGTGATGGCTGTTCTGTTCTGTTTATTTTTGTTCCTGTTCTTTAGGAGTGCACATTTGTAACCAACAGTGTAATGACTTGGTGGAGATGAGAATATGTTTTAGGAAGTAACTAGCACTGTGTCTCTTTCCTTCCTGTCTGGTGCAGAGGGGCAGGTTCTATGAGGTGACCAGCCAGGTAGAACCAGGATTTTGATCCGTAGCCCCCATGGCCAAAAAATGAGGGGGTTTGACTTGAAGCACTGCTGGAAAAACAGCTCCTCTTCCTACCATTAGCTCCAGCTCTCATCACCCCACACACTGGCTTCCCCTCCACACAGAATATTTATTGCTTTTGGTGATCTGGCCCAGTCTTCTCCTTTAAGAGGTTGCGCCTTTGCACCTTTGTGCCCTGCATTACAGAGCTTGACAGAATGAAGCGCAAACAATCACCACCTGCCTTGCAGTTCAGTGTTACAGCAAGGGGTTACAGAAGGGATTGTCATAGTGCCATGGAAGGAACAACTGCTGTGTGGGCAACTTGGGAGTGCACAGCCTACGCATATGAGAGCACCCCTCCTCCCAGTGCTGTTCCTTATCTAGAGCATCTTGGGATAGGCAGAGGTGGTAGCTGGCCCCATACTTCTCTTCAGGCATGCTGAGTGAGAGGCACATGCTGTGCCTGCAGGCACCACAGACCCAGCACAGCAGATGGGATGGTCAGCAGAAGGCAGCTCTTCAAAGCAGTGCCTGTCATTATGGGTGTTATTGCTGCCAGCAGACCAATCCAGGGCAAGGCCTGGATCACTTATACAGAAGGGGTCTTGTGGTCTAATGGGGACTCCAAGCTGGATCCTCCTGTCCCCATCCCGCAGCCTGTTTGTCCAGTCCTTTTGCCACTGATTTGTCTTGCCTTCGTGCACATGAACGTTTAAGAATCCTCAGCTGTAGACTACAGGGAGGTAAATGTCCCATGTGGGCAAATCACAGAGACACCTAAAGATATACCTGCTTGAGAAGAGTAGGCCATGCCCTCTCCTTGAGTCTCATTGGGAGAGTGGTGACCCTGGAGTGTGCTGTGGGGTTGTCATGATGTTGTGCTGGAGGGTTTCTTTTGGAGAATCACTGCTGTGCCCCCCTTCCCCCGCGCCCCCCCCAATCTAGGGGGAGCAGAAGGAGCGTTGTCCTTGTGCCACAGCAGGAGCCCTGCTGTCAGTTCAGATTGCAAAGGGGTTTCCCTGCATCCTCAGCCATTGTATGGCAGGTTCCATTTGTCTGGAAGCTCCTTGAGTGACCCGACCACAGGCTGGGATCAAGGCAGGGTTTGATGCACTGTCTCCATGAGCCTGCTGTGCCCACGTTGGGGAGCAGTTGGCTTTGGAACTTGCCCAGAGCAACTGAAAAGCTTTGGACATGAGGGAGGTGAGAGGGCCAGACTTAATCCCTTTCTCTGTGGAGTGTATGGACTTGTTTGGCATAGAGGTTCCCAGATGCTGACCCATAAGAAGACTTGGGGGCTGCGGGTCTACCCCAGGCACTTGCCAAGGTGGTGACTAGCCACTAGGAGCATGTTCTTTGCTCATAGCTGGAGGGGTGGGGTGGGGAGGTATCCACAAGGCACCCCGGGACAAGATATTTCAGCCCTCCCTTGACCTTGAAAACCAAGGTATCTATGAAGGCTCTGGGAAGGACAGGCACGAGAGTCCTCCCGGTGCAATGCTCCCGCACAAGTTGCGGTGTGGTGTTCTTGCAGCCATCCAGCAGGTGCCAGCACAGGATCTACAGCCCCAGCAGCTTGGGAAGCAGTTTCTTGCTCCAGCAGTGTCCTCAAGAGCTAGCTGGCTGCCTCCGTGACCTGGTTTCCTTGTGCCTGGGCTGCGTGAGTAGTTTTAGCACCTGCCTTCGTCACGTTTTCAAGGAACTGATAATATCCACAGGCCTGTGGCACTGGAGAGTTTACCTGTTGCCTGCATGTGACACCAGGGCAGCTCCTGTGGCCTCTGTACACTCCATGGTAACCTGCAGCTGGTAGCCAGAGTGCAGAGGAGCAGGCAGTGCACATCACTGCAAGGGAACAGCTTTTGGCTGACCCTAGCATTGATTACCCTTGATCTCCACTCTGTGGGGGTATGGCCAGCCTGGGGGAGGGGCTCCTTGCACCATCCCCCCCCTTGGGAAGCGCCCATTCTGCTGTGCTGCCTGAGGTGTGTGGTGCCAGAAGTTGTGTGGCAGTGCAAAGGGCTGGTGAACACTGCTCTGCTGGCTGGAGGGGGCCTTGGCATGAGCTCCTGAGCCACCAGCATCATGTGGACTGTGAAAGCCAGGAGGGGGCAGGCTCTACCCTTCTCAGGTGTTTGCCTGCCTGCAGGCACCTCAGCCTTTCCTTCACAAACACTAGCCCCTTGGGTGTCAACAGGGCTGCTGCTGCTGGGACCTCGCAGAAATGACTTCCAGGGCCTTCTAACTGTGTCTCATCCTCTTAAGCTGAGAGGAAGGGAGGTGTCAGTGAGGCAGAGACAATCCTTTGGCAAAAGGAGCTAGGTCAAGGAGTGGCAGGATGGTGTCTACAGCTCCCAGGTGTCAGGACCAGGGGCTCCCACCCTGTTAGACACAATTCTCAGCCTGGGTGCTGTATCAGCAATGCAATTGCTGCAAACAGAGTGAAACTGCCCTATATGTCTTGTGCCCCACTGGATTAGGAAGGGCTAAGGCAGAAGCATGTGGCTTATCTGACCCTTTCTGCTCTTGACTGTCCACACTCCTCCTGGAAGCAGAGGCAAACAGGGCTGGTGGGACTATCCCGCACCTCTGTTCCTGGCAGGAATATGCAGGGTTGGATGGGGAAGGGTTGCAGCAGGGGTGGATGCTCCTGGCTTCCTTAGGCTTATCAGTGAACCTGAATGCAGCCAGGAGAACATGCCTCTGCTCCAGCTGTTCATGTTCTGGCTCTGTATGAGGCTTGTGGTTCCCATGGTGGTGCCCAGTTGAGAAGCACTGAGTTATGCCGAGGCAACACAACAGCATTTCTCAAATGGGATGCCACCAAATGCAAAAAGCTCAGTGGGGAGCACTCTGAATCTAACCATTGCATTGGACTCTACTGCCCCAATCCAGGCACAGAACCCCAGAGTCCTGAACACCTATCTTACTATATCCCAACCTCTTACCACCCTTCCAAATGCTGGAATGTGGTCCTTTCAGCCACCGTTGCTGCTCCCCAAGGCAGCACTGCCCTTTAAGATACTTTCTGTCAAGTCAGTGCTGTGGAAGCAAATGCTCCTAGCATGGTCAGGTGGGGGCAGTGTGGGCATGGGTGGCACAAGAGGTTCTAGAGGACAGTGACAACACTAGGGCAGCACCGGCCTAGGATTGCACATAGATGCAGGGCTCTGGTCCCTTCAGCACCTTTCTGAATCTCTTCTGGAGCCAAGCTCTTGCCTGAGCTTGCAGCTGTGGATCTGCGAGTAGAACCCAGGAGTCCTGCCCACCCCATATTGGATCCTGGCCACCCTGTTCCTCTACAGCATTGGGATCTTTTTTCATCTAGCGGACCTGCTGGTAAGTGACCTGGGCGGACCCAACTCTTCCACAGCAGGCAATGGCCTGGGGTGTGAAAGCATCAAAACCCCTCAGCTCTGAGCTGTACTGCAGGCTGCTTGCTGGCTCACAGCAGGTAGGTTCTCACACCCTCCCCAAGGCTGGCACAATGTCGCTGCTGAGAGTAGAGCCTGGCTGTATGCTTCTGGTGGCTCTGGCCCAAGAAGATGCTGCAGAAGATGAGGCAGCAAAGGAGTGTTGTAGTCTGAGAATGAAGCCAACAGCTTCCTGCAGCAAACCCAGCATGTAGTGGGAATACTCTCCTACCCCTGCAGCTGCTCCACTCCACTTGCGTGCGCTGTGCTGGCAGTGTGGGGTCCCAGCTCAGTTCAGAGCACTTGTGCTGGACCCTGCCTAAGCTCCCCAAGGAACTTGCACTGTGCTTTGATATAGGGTGAGAAGGGGAACTGAGGCACAGAAGTATCAGTGCCAGGGGTGGCCCCCAGAGCTCCTGATCTGCAGACCCTACCTGCCAGCTGCCCTCAGTGCAGCCTCCCTTGGGCATGTATTGCCATTTTGTTCACTCTCTGGTTACTGCCTTCTAAGGGAAGCTCAGTGTTGCTTGGGGCTCTCTTAAACCCTGCCTAGGGGAAAACCCATTTTGTCAGGGGTAGGCCTCACATGTGGGCCTTACTGAGTGTCTGTGGTGGAAGACGGCAGATGATTTGCTCTCGGCCAGAACAGGCCTAAAGGCCTCTGTCATCTGCCTTGGCTGTGACAGGTGACACTGGACATGGGTGTACCTGTTGGTGCATGCCTGCTCTGCACAGACATGCTGTGCCGGGGCGGGGGGGTGCTCTGGGAGGCAGGGTTTAGGTTGCAGGGGAGATCCTCCTAGCTACGGCTTTGGCAGGAAAGTGGTGTCCAGGGGTTAGAGCAGGGGGGGAGGGAATCTGGGTTCTGCTATCAGTTCTTTGAGGGGGGCAAGGGTTACAGAAATGGGGATAGGGGAGGCCAGGACCCCTGGGATCTATTGCCAGCTCTGGGAGTTGGTGGAGTCTCGGGTTCTAGTCCACTGCCACTGACTTACTGTGTGACCGTGGACAAGTCTCTTCCCCTTTCTGTACCTCAGTTTCCCCCCTGTAAGCTCTTTGGTGCAGGGACTATCCTTTTTGTACAGCCCCTAGCACCATAGGGTCCTGGTCTGTGGCAGGCGTCCTACATGCTACCACAGCACAGAAATAACACCAGCTTAGCAGAACAGGTAAACTTCCCGTTGTGTTTCTATCTCTGCAGCATGAAAATGGGTTAAAATTCTAGCTGGAACTGAATTTTTTTTTTTTCTCCCTTGAATGCCTGTAATTTTTCACTCCCACACAAGGTCTGTTTTGAACAGTGCCTCCCAGGCTTCACACTCAGCCCCCCCGCTCCCTGCTCACTCCTGCCTTTCACACAAAGAGAGAGAATTGAAAATTTCTTTCAAGCACAAATGAAATGCAGGACTTGGGAGGGAAGAACCTGTTCCAGTTTCCAGCTCTTGAGGAGAAGTACCAGCAAATTAATTATCCTAATGGCTGGCTTTGACACATCTTCAACCTG